ATATTTATTTAACAGTTTAGTCCAACATTCAGACCAGTAACTTCCCAGCTGCCACCATTACTCCATGTAATATCCACCCCTCCTGTGCTCTGATGTCCACACCACCTCGGGTGCCCGATGGCACTGCGCTGTCTCAGTAACCAGGCCAAAGACTACAGATTTTTCCATTAATTCCTTAATTTTCTTCCTCTCTCCTTTTTTTTTTTTTTTAACAGTTTAGTCCAACATTCAGACCAGTAACTTCCCAGCTGCCACCATTACTCCATGTAATATCCACCCCTCCTGTGCTCTGATGTCCACACCACCTCGGGTGCCCGATGGCACTGCGCTGTCTCAGTAACCAGGCCAAAGACTACAGATTTTTCCATTAATTCCTTAATTTTCTTCCTCTCTCCTTTTTTTTTTTTTTCAGCCAGTGTTTATTAGCTTTCTAAGTGGGGATTGCTACAAGATGCAATTATTACTGGAAACAACCCAAATCTGTCAAAACTTAGCCACGAGGAGTTTATCTGAACCTTGTAGAGCAGCTTAATTTTGGACAAGAGCTAGAGTTTAAAGCAGCAGCAAAACAGGGGATGTGATTAAGCACAGCTGCTTGTGCTGAGTTAAAATTTATTATTCAGTCTGGACAAATCATTTATTTCACCTTTCTGGTAGGAAAGATGTTTGATGTCTCATTTGTTATTGCTCCGTGCGTCTGATTCACTGCTGATAATTGTCACAAGCTCTACCAAGAAAACAGGATGGGTCCTAATTAGATACTTCACCGAGTCCCATTCCATCCTAAAAGTCCATAAAAGAGCTGTGAGAGCAGGTGGGTGGCAAAGATCACTGGTTTGTTTGAGTCAAGGATCTTCTTTTGATGGGTTTTTTTGGTTGTTGTTTCTCTTTATTGTCAACTGACCCAAAGACAGCTTGTTTTGAGGTGCAACAAGCAGAGGATGTGATGGTTCCACCTTGAAATTATACATTTTGAAGGACTATTTACGTATCCTCCTTCTCAAGATGAAGCTTAGAGTTACTTTTACCAAAATATTGTTGTATTGCATAGAAAAAATTTGATTTTTTTTAAAGCCTTTCTGGTGTAATCAGCTTGAGATGTTCTACACGTGTCTCACAACCAGCAAATTTGTTCAGGGACCTGATGGTTTTCTGTTCCTTTCATCTTTCTCGAAGGAAAACATCCACCTCTGGCACTGTGCTTGGCTCTTGCTGTGAATTGCTCAGAATTACTTTTTGATCACTTGTCAGCTGAGACTTCAACTGTTGTTGTCCAACAAGAATATTGCTGTTCAGATTTTCCTGGAATCAGTCTTTTTATCTATTCCAGTTGAGATCTAAGCTTGAATTGTCCACCCAATTTATTTCCATTGGGTGGGTATGCAGAGGGCTCCCTTTTAGGAAGGACAAGTTGTCAAGCTCAACTTGTAGGATCTCAGATAGGTTCCCTGCTACACTCCCTCCCAGTGCAAAATGCCTTTATCTATGAGAAGATTCTACTTGCCATATCAGACCTGTGTTGCTTCATGTTTAAGAAGCCCAAAGGTGTCCAAGGTGGAAGAGCCTTCTTGAGATACAAGGTGCCAGGACCAAAAGAGAAGAAACAGAGAGAAGGTTTGTGTGTGAGGGAGAACAAATCATTAGTCTTCTTTGTTCCCATCAGGCAGCTTTAAATATAAACATTTTGGAACTGTTTCCTCAGTGGAATCTGCCGTACAGAATGACAGAAGAGGGAAGGAGAGAGGGGCAGCAGAGCTGGGGAAGGGTCTGGAGCACAAGTGTGCTGAGTTCCCTTGTGGCTGAGGGAACTGGGGGTGTTGAGCCTGGAGAAAAGGAGGCTGAGGGGAGCCCTTGTGGCTCTGTGCAAGTCCCTTGGAGGAGGGTGGAGAGAGGTGGGGGTGGGTCTGTTCAACCAAGGAGCAAGGGACAGGACAAGAGGAAATGGGCTGAAGTTGTGGCCAGGGCAGTTGAGATGGGATGTGAGGAAGAATTTCTTTGCTGCAAGGGTTCTGAGGCATTGGAAGGGGTTGCCCAGGGCAGTGGTGGAGTCCCCATCCCTGGAGGGATTGAAGAGTTGTGTAGACATAGTGCTGAGGGACATGGGTTAGTCGGGGACTTGTCAATGTTGGGTTAACAATTGGACTTGATGATCTTCAAGGACTTTTCCAATTGAGGCAATTCTGGGATTCTGGGTGATTCTCTGGATTTCTAAGATATCTCAGAAATAGCTTTTATGAAAGAATTGCCACGTGGAAGGATTGTCCTGCATCAACCTGCAGACAGGTCTCCTCAGGCAGGCGTGGTCCAGGGACTTGAGTGAACATGAATGAGATGGTGACATGCAGACGTTCTCCCCATTCCTGCTCCGAGAAGTAGATCTGTCATTACAGAGCTGTTTCCTCTTGGCTGCAGACGTACTTCCCAATGGCTCTTGTTGGAGAACCACCTCAGTGAACGTAGTCCTGTCCCTCAGCTCCTCCACTGGCATTTCACTAAAACTGTTCTACCTTCTCATTTTGCTCTAGGCCACAGATCTCCACCAGCAAGAAGCGGCCATCGTTGCGTGGCAGATAACGCCAATTTGTACGTGTTTGGAGGCTACAATCCTGACTATGATGAGTCTGGTGGGCCAGAGAATGAAGACTACCCTCTCTTCAGGGAACTCTGGAGATACAACTTTGCTACAGACACCTGGCATCAAATGGGCACTGAAGGCTACATGCCCAGGGAACTCGCCTCCATGTCACGTACGTATGGAAATTCAATTCCTACACGCCTCTTCCTGAAGCTATTTTAATCAGTGTCCCTGGTGGAATGCAAAACTGGACAAGAACTAAGAAATCTGGATCCTGTTTCCAACTCTTTTGCAAGTAGGCCTTGAGTTTGGGTTGGTTTTGTGGTTTTTCTTTCCCTTTTTGCTCAAGTTGAGGCAGAAGGAAAGAAAAAATTTCAATTCTAAGAGGTAGTCTTCGGGTTTTTAGCTTGATAGTTGCAAGGCACCTGTGCTTTCAGCAGCTAGATGCTCAGTGCTATCAGACATCTCAAAACATCCCAAAATAGATCTCTTTGTTCACTAACCATTTTTAAAAGCAGATCTTTGGTTACCATGGTTTTACCTTGCATTCTATCTGGGTTTTTTTTGAGCATTTCAAAGCCATAAATGCATCGTGTGAATTGTCGGGTATTTGAACAACGTTGAATGCTCGCTGCTTACTGTCTCCAGAGCAGAGACTTGGGTCTGTTTTACTGCATCTCACAGCAACAACCATCTCTGCTCTGTTTCTCTTTCCTAGTTGTATTACATGGCAACAATCTACTTGTGTTTGGGGGCACTGGGATCCCCTTTGGGGAGAGCAACGGCAACGACGTCCACGTCTGCAACGTCAAGTACAAAAGATGGGCTCTGCTCAGCTGCCGAGGAAAGAAACCCAATCGAATCTACGGCCAGGTAGGAAGGACAGTTCTTGTTGAGGCACTTTGTGCCTGTGTACCCTGTGCTGTGTGTCACAGAAAAAGGACAGAGCATGGAGATCTCTTCTCTGCTAGTAACCAAAGTTGTTCTCTGTGTACATATGTGTAAGGAAAGTCAGGTATCATTCATCAAGAAATAGAGTGGCCTCGATTCCTTGAGATTTCATAGAATCATAGAATGGTTTGGGTTGGAAGGGACCTGAAAGCTCATCCAGTTCCAACCCCCCTGCCAGCAGCAGGGACACCTTCCACTAGACCTGGTTGCTCAAAGCCTCATCCAGCCTGGCCTTCAACACTTCCAGGGAGGAGCATCCACAACTTCCTTGGGCAACCTGTTCCAGTGTCTGACCACCCTCACAGTGAAGAACTTCTTCCTAATATCTCATCTAAACCTCCCCTCTTTCAGCTTAAACCCGTTTCCCCTTGTTTTGTCATTAACTGCCCTTATGAAAAGTCCTTCCCCAGTTTAAGTTTGTCTGGAACTCCCGGTGTTCCAGTTTTTGCCCATAAATTTGTCTTGTCTGATACCTGAAACTCAGCAGCTTCACTTCTAGGTCCTCATCTTGTGACCATGGAGTTACCTTCCATTCCTACAGACACCCCCCCACACCCCACTGTCCCCATCTTTTTTGTATCATCCCTGTTTGCCCTTCACGTTCCTCCTGAACACATCATTTTGTAAGTTGTAGGTAGAGCTTTGCAAGCAGTGTCTTGCTTTGGGAGGGCAGGAATTCTCTCTTTCTCACACGTTGATGTCACTTGTTCTTTCTAACTGGTTTCTCTCTTGTTATCTTCCAGGCTATGGCCATCATCAATGGTTGTCTCTATGTGTTTGGAGGAACAACTGGTTACATTTACAGTACTGACCTACATAAGCTAGACCTCAACACCAGAGAGTGGATCCAGCTGAAACCAAACAATATGTCCTGTGATATGCCAGAGGAAAGGTGAGAAGCTGGAGAGTTGGGGAGAGCTTTTATACAGGGGAGTCACCAGATTTACAGACGGGCTTCTGGGCATTCTTAGAGCAGTTGTTTTCAGCCGTGAACCTTGGACAACTGATGCACCAGTAGTCTGATGTGCAGGGGGATGTAGGGATGGGATGTGAAGCCTTTGCCAGGACACTGATCTGGACTGTGTGGTGCCAGAACAGAGATGGAGACTTGGGGCAGCTGGTGAGTGCTGAGGATGGGAAGAGGCTCCAGTCCGGTTTTGGGCCCCTGAGTCCAAGAAGGACTTGGAGGTGCTGGAGCGTGTCCAGAGAAGGGCAACGGAGCTGGGGAAGGGGCTGGAGCACAAGTGTGCTGAGTTCCTGGCTGAGGGAACTGGGGGTGTTGAGCCTGGAGAAAAGGAGGCTGAGGGGAGACCTTGTGGCTCTGTGCAAGTCCCTTGGAGGAGGGTGGAGAGAGGTGGGGGTGGGTCTGTTCAACCAAGGCCCAAGGGACAGGACAAGAGGAAATGGGCTGAAGTTGTGGCCAGGGCAGTTGAGATGGGATGTGAGGAAGAATTTCTTTGCTGCAAGGGTTCTGAGGCATTGGAAGGGGTTGCCCAGGGCAGTGGTGGAGTCACCATCCCTGGAGGGTTTGAAGAGTCGTGTAGACACCGTGCCGAGGGACATGGGTTAGTCGGGGACTTGTCAGTGTTGGGTTCATGGTTGGACTCGATGATCTTAAAGGGCTTTTCCAATCAAACTAATTCTGGGATTCCAAGATCCCTGTCCCTTGTCCTGTTCTGTAGGAAGGCATGGAGGAAGAAGGTGCTGGTAGATCAATCAGTGATCATCTTAGTGAGAGAAGGGGGTGGAATATTGATGGCCATCAGGGTGCTCCATAAATCGTTGTACTTAAGTTCCATGGTGCTCTGCTCTCAGAAAATGCCTTTCAAGCTTCTGGGGTGCTGCTTAGGTTGTTCATGAAACCTTCCACATCTTCTGAATGCTCCCAACTTGAGGGACTGATAAAGCATGGCCAGGCTTGGGGTGTCTGCTTAAAACACTCAAATTTGAGAGTCTTTTCCAGAAGGGTTTTGTTTTTACTCACTTGCACTAATTACTTTTGCTGTTAAATGTCTTTCTTTGCACTTTAAGGTACAGACATGAAATTGCACATGATGGTCAACGGATTTATATCTTGGGAGGTGGAACTTCCTGGACAGCTTATTCCTTAGATAAGGTAAGATCTTAGTCCTTAAATCAGAAACCTTGATTGCTTGCCTGGATATATTCTACAGGGAAGGATAAACAGCACGGTCTCTTCATCTGGCTTTGCATGGAGAGCTTGGTAAAAAAATAGGTAACTAGGAGCAGATTGTTCTCCTATTTCTACTAAACCTGGTGTCCATTTCTGTAGACCCATTATCAAAGATTCTCATTTAGAAACACTTAGGACCTCTTTATAAATGTTGTATTTGTGCCAAAACTGGAAAGCACCAAAGAAAGGAGTTCCTTGACGTTGAGATATTGATGTGGTGACTCTTCTCTTCTCCCTTCATCATATCCTCTAATTTCCTTTCTTGTCTTAAACATTTTTCTCCAACACAATTTGGGGTGG